TTATATATATATATATATATATATATATATATATATATATAAGAGTATAACTATAAAAGAGTATAACTTGAGTATAACCTTAGTATAATTCGAGTATAATATTTTTAGATAATTTAAAATAATTTTTATATAAAAATTATTTTTTAGGATAATTCAAGTTTTTTTTGATGAATTTAGGATAATTTTATATAAAAATTAATTTTTTAATATGTTTTATGAATGAGTGTAATCGAGTGTAATATTTTTTGGATAATTTTATATAAAAAATAATTATAGAGAATATATAATCTGTCAATCATCGCGCAAATACCACATAAGGACTATAGGAGAAAAAAAGGCCTAGACGGCTCAACACCCATTCGCCAGTATAGATAGGAGTATAAGAGATAGCTCGGGTTAGTTATTGTACTGCCTCCTTTATAGAATGCTCGGGTTAGTTACTGTACTGCCTCCTTTATAGAATCTTCATAGAAATATTCTGAAAGTCTAAGGGGCGGCTCAGTTATCAAACTACCTCCCTTGTAAAATATATCACAAGAATATTCTTGGGGATCTAGGGGCAGCTCGGGACGATTACCTATCTCATTTACAGAATATTCACATAAATATTCCTAGGAGTTCAAAGGGCAACTCGGACCAGTTACAAATTACCTTCTATGTAGAATCTTTATGGGATATTTTGCCTTCTCAATATTAGGTTAAAAAACAAACCCTGAACTTTAGATAAAAAGGACTCAAGGCTAAAGAGTGGACCTCAATACTAACTTACACATAAGAATCAGGGCCACCTCAATACTAACTTACTTTTATCTAAGTAAAAATACTATGGGTCGAGGGCATAGCCTCACCCAAGCGTGCATTGATAGAGTCAGTCTATGGACGCTCCTATGATATCGGGCCCTCCTAGTGCCAAAATGTTAAGGGAAAATGTCGTTGACGTATTTGTCAACACGACGTGGCCCTGATTCATATGTGTAAGGTTGTTCGAAGTTCAGGAGCGTCCATAGACTGACTCTATCAATGCACGCTTGGGTGAGGCTATGCCCTCGACCCATAGTATTTTTACTTAGATAGGGTGATAACCACCCTTTCCCCACATATACACATCCACCTTGCCACAAATACCAATACAATATTGGCATCCGACCCTAGACCCTCATCTCTGGGAGTGCCACTGAGCCATTTACTCGTTTATGTCAAAGCATTCTTAAATCTCACCTAGCAAATGGAAACACTAGCCAATATGATACAGGTCATTACCCTCACTTCTACCTTGGCTAGACCAATAGACAACGCTATCGCCTTAGCCACTATCGTTAGTTTAGCAACCATTAGCATCAACGACCGTTGGGGTCCCCCCACCCAATGAGTTGCCAGCATCTCAGAGGCATCCGAGGCCTATCAAACCATCAGCTAAGGAAGCACCCCACTCCCCAATTGTAGAGTTCAGTAGAATGCCCCACCATCGCTCTACTATGCTTGAATATAAGATCCACTAAATTGATTTAATAGATAACTCTCTTAGGATACAACTGTATTAAATAAACCAATGCTCGAAAGATATGCGTCGAGACTTTCATCAATCTAGGGGTGATGGGCAAGTCAACCCTATCTTTGGTCAATCACCATTTATCCAGGATATTCAAGAAGAGCCGATCCCAACAAACTTTCGCCTCCCATTATTGGAAGTCTTTGATGGCACTATTGACCTAGTGGAGCACGTTATCACCTTCTGAACTCAGATATCACTATAAAGTACTTCGGATGCCCTAATGTGTCGTGCCGTCCCGACTACCTTAAGAGGTCTGGCAAGAGAATGATACACTTGTCTAAAGTTGCTCTATATTATCTCCTTTACTCAACTAATAAAAGAGTTCAAGCTCCACTTCCTTATAAATGTGTGCCCGAGGCCGACGATGACGATGTTTCTTGGACTTAAACAAGCTAGGAGGAGACACTCTCAGACTTCGTCACCCGATTCACTAACGAGATCCGAGGTATAAATAATGCTTACCCGTAGCTCGTGATTCAGTCCTTTATGATGGGACTGAAACTCTCTCGCCTATTTTGGTTGTTGGTAGAAAGGACATTATCGACGATCCCCGAGGTGCTTCAAAGGGCCATTCAATACATTATCACTAATGTAATGATCTCGAGCAAACGTGGAGAACCTCATAAGAAATTGAGGCAAGAGCGACCACAATCCGCCCCCACCCCAAGATCGTCACGGTGGAAGAAAAGTTAATGACTCAACCTATGTAGCCCGAGGTCCGAATTGACTACCCCTAAACTTGACTAGGACTAAAGTTTTTTTATAGAGAGAAAAAATGGCTTATTGAAAGATTCTTGATCGACGAGGACTCCACTTGAGAAAAGAGACGAATCCAAGTATTATCATTTCTATCACGATTACGCCCATGACACAATAGACTGTCGCGATCTGAATGAGCAAAGTAAGAAGCTCATACGATGAGAACACCTCGGGGAGTTCATTTGAAGACTTTGAGAGCTATTACCGTAACCTTAGGGGTCGATTGAAAGATAGATCGATATACCGGGAATTGATCCGGGTGCAGCCCAACATCACCTGAACATCTCTCTAGAAGCACGACCAATCAAACAAAAGCCTAACAAGTGTACTCCTGAATCGTTAGTAGGCGATTAGTAATAAAGTTAACAAACTATTAGAAGCAAGGTTTATTATCGAGGTATATTGCTTGTAGTGACTTACCAAAGTTATACTTGTTAAAAAGTTAAATAGAAATTAGAAGAAATATGTTAACTATACTGATTAAAAAAGATGTGTCCAAAAGATAACTATCCGCTCCTTGGATTGATCAACTAGTCGACACCACCTCATATAATGAGAAGTGAAAAAATATCTTTATAACATAGTTTAATATCTTTTATGATATATAAAAAAGTCGAGAATATATATATTTTTTCAAAACTTTATATTAAGAACCAAATTTATCAATGATTCAATTTCTCCGAATAGACAGATCATACTACAGCTAGTGAGATGATTAATATCAAAAAGGCTTATCACCCTTCAAACAATCCTGATATTTTACATATGGATGGTATGAGGAAAATGAGAGCAGCACCCATAAGATTTCTATCCCATGCAGTATATATTATATACTGTTTATTCCGATACCGCTGTAGCAGATAATAAATAACTCATTGCCTCTCCTGTATAACTTCTCCTGCTGCATCCAAAAAATAAGGTTAATATGGACCAAAAATAGAGGAGGAGAGAGAGAGAGAGAGAGAGAGAGAGAGAGAGAGAGAGAGAGAGAGAGAAAAGGTAATATCACATCAAACACTAGCCATTTCTTAGTCGGCCTTCAAGTGTTCTCGTGTTCCTTGGAGTCTTCTTCGTCTTCTTCTTGCCTTCCCCATCTGATCATGGATCTTCTACTTCTCTTGCATCTTCTATCAACATTAATGGACTTCTCTACACAGCTTTCTATGATTCATACGCATATCTTCCCCGTTCATTATGCTTGTCTTTGACATCTCGATAGTAACTTTATTGCCAACTCACACTGTCCTCTCTATTCCTCGACTTTGTCGAGATATCTACTCTTTGCTTACCCTCTTTCTCATTACTTGTAGGTGTGTCTTCTTTTTGTTTGGTTTGCTCCAATGGGACTGCTCTCTAAAGGATCGATATCTCTGGTAATTCTCATCCTCTTCTTGGTTTCATGCTGTGATGGCTCAAGAACCATGCATGCCTGGTATCAGAACCCGGCAGGTAAGAAGAAGTCAGGTGGTTTCTTTGAGTTCTTGCCTAGAGCGATGCCGATCCCTCCATCAGGTCCTTCCAAGCGCCATAACTCGATCGGTTTGCATGGTCAAACGACGCCTTAAAGGAAGGTGTCAGCTGCAGCTCTAAGAAGGAATGTGATTGATTGCATCCAAAGGTGGGCTTCTCATATCCTCAACACATTCTTTGTTTTCTCTCCTCCTTTATGGGATCGAAGCTTCACACAGCGTCCCATCTCTTTCTATATATCCCATATATCTATAGTCAGAGAGAGAGAGAGAGAGAGAGAGAGAGAGAGAGAGATGCCACTGGGCTTGCACTTTTGATTATGTGCAGCAAAGCAAAATGTTGACTTCAATGTCAAAATGTGTAGAAATGAAATGCTCCTTTTCAAGTTGAAGGATGAATTGTTGTCTCCTCCTTTTAAGAACCAACGCATCATAGTGCTCCTTCTATGACAGCTCACAGCATGGAGTTGTGGAGATTAAGAATCTATCTCTACTACGCTAATTATTTCCACTGTTTGGTGATTCATCTCTATTTCGATCTTGAATGATATCGACCTTTATGTCATCCAAGAAAATATTACTTGCTTGCTTGGAAGTTCAATGGGGACAAAGATATGGAGGTGTGGTGACGCTTGCAGAGGGTGACCTTTCTCTTATCGGAGCAGGAATCCCACGAGAGATATGACAGGGAAAGCTTGGGGGAAATTGTAGACGCAGCTGTGCGGTACTGGTCACCATTATTAGTCTTGTGATCCATGGCCATCATTTTGACCCCAAGAGCAAGGTACTGCTGTAGGGGCATGGCATGGCATGGCATGGCATGGGCGCCACGGGCCATGTACGTGAACGGTGGCCACAGTCGTCTTCTCCTCGGAAGCCATCCGTGTGCAGCCCTAAACTAAGGAAAAAGATAGCACTCTGTCCTTGTTGCTTGCACCTGTAACACCGCTGAGCTCTGAAGCGATGGGTCCTCTTTTCGTACAGTGGAAGAGGGGTAGGGGTTGTGTGCAGTCACAGTGTTACAAGGAATTAGCAGTTCATGGTGAAGCAATGCCTCGCACGCATTCACGTGCCTCTCTCTCTCTCTCTCTCTCTCTCTCTCTCTCTCTCTCTCTCTCTCTCTCTCTCTCTCTCTCTCTCGCCTGACTGATGGATGCAAAGTATTCCTACTTCGATCATTCTGTCATGCTTCGTATGCTCTTCAGACTGTTTGTTTTCCTTCGAGAAAGAGACAACAACTGTTGAGCACATACGATTCAGAGTAACGATCAAAGATTAACTCAGTTTGGTCGACTGATTCATCCAAAGGATTTGGTACTAGGAAGCATGGGATGAGTTCAGGGAGGAGAAAGAGACAGGACTCCCTTTGTTTTGGTTGCTTTCTTCCACAACCAAGCAATCCTACGTTGTGTCATTTCACAATATTATTGCAAATGCGTAGATAGCTCCAATAAGTTCCCGATGAATCATCATCATCAAAGACTAAAACGTTGCTCCACAAGAGAACATTAATCAGGACTGAAAAAGTCATTCATTAATAAGAAATTATTGGGTCTTATCTACGACTTAATAATATTCAATCTCATAGTGATTTTGTAGATAACTTTCGGGTCAATATATATCATTTGACTTTTGTAGTTCTCAGTAACAAAGTACTATTCTTAGACGTCTCCCACATGAATATATTGTCCGAGTAAAGTAGTCAAAAACGTACTACAGATCTCGACCATTGGGAGGTCCGACGAGTTAGAGGATTGAAGGCGACAAAGTAGATTTTGAGATGGTGGCTTCATTATTATTTACTTTGAACTGGTATCTAACATACATCAAGCATGCATTATCTTATGTGGGATGTTACTTTTAAAGCTATGGGCAGGTCACCAAAAATACTTTTTATTTGTGGAAGATTTCAAACCATGACATACCCAATCCACGCGCAAATAAAGTTAAAAGAATGTGAAACCAATCGACCAATTAATCCTTTGGCTTGTGTTCTTCCCCTGACCATTCTGATCTTGCTTGTTTAAAGAATCAGAGCACTGTGGAAAGCATCAACTAATCCTTTAGATTGTGGTCTCCTTTTCAACTGTTGGTTTTGCTTATGCAACTTGGTTTTCATATTCAAAGCATTAAAGAAATGCCCACAAAAACACATCAAAGTTCTCTTGTTTACACATGCTCAGGCCTCTTAATTTGTCCATGTCCATTGTCAACTACTAAATATAGATCTTTTCAAGCAAATATATATTGGCTACCACTAATAAGAATCAAAGTTTCGGCTTTCCTCTAAAAGAATCAAGGCTTAGGTGGATCCGGTAATTGAAGTACCTACTCAAATTTGTCAGTAATGTTCTAAATGAAGAACAAGAAAAGGATGGCATTGACCTGAACAAAGGCATAGGTTGGAAGTTTTCCGGTGCACTGCCTGCTAGTCTCTCTCTATCATTGTCCTGAGATGAGATTTTTCTTGTTTGCAAAGTTACAGGAGGAGAATTATTCTTAGAATGGCTATACATGTCTCTGTATTGTGACTTGCTTGTACTCCATAACTCTATGCAGGACAGGCTTTTCCATGTTAATGGATTGATTCCATGTGCTTCGAAGCTGCTCATGACATGCAGTTCTCAACCTACCTGTCTGTACTTTTGGCATGCTAAGATAGATGGATGTGATCTTACTGCTACAGAAGAAATGAGAGCATACTCGAAGGATCGAATGTTGTTCATATTTGCATACTCTAAATTGATCTCATCTTGCAACATGCAGAACTATAAAGAGAGAATGAATGAAAGGCAAAAGAATAATCAAGTATTAGGCAAACAAAAAGAACTTACAATTCTGTGTTGCATGAATCATGATCTGATGGTGTAATAAGAATTCATCAACTACTCTAAATCGATCGATTGTTGAGGTTGTTGTTGTTACATATGAGATGCGATTAGCTCCCACAAGAGGAATAAGAAGGCCTCACCATGTCTTCTTTGCCCTTCTCTTGAGCTAACACTCCTCGTTTTGATTGAAGAGGTCCCAAAATGCACCGGGAGAAGGGAGGATGGGAGTGGATAGGAAGTTGTTGGGGCTGGGCAAGAAGGGATTCTCGACATAGCTCTTGCCCCCATGGAAAGCAGGGCTGAGTTCGTTGAAGAGGTTAAGCTCACTCGGGACGGTGGACGCCGAGAACAGGTTGGGGGACACCGGTGGCAGAGAAGAAGGGACCGGGGACAGGATGCCGGGGAAGAGACCGGCTCGACTCGATGTCATCGGACCATCGATCTCCAGTTGATCCAGAACATCTCGGTTGGACGCCGGGTGAGACGTCCTCTCGAACACGGCTAACCGAGCTGCCGGCGACAGCGGTGCTCCTCCGGCCGAGTCCCCGCGAGAACGCGAAGCAGCCGCAGTAGGATCGGCGGAAGACGAGGCGGCGCCGGTGAGGCGTTGCACCAGCGACATGAACTCGCTACGGCTGGCGTGGATGACCTTGGGCGAGACGGTGTAGATGATGACCGGTTGCCGAGTCTGGGGAGGCGCCGCGGCCGGTGGCTTCCTGATCTTGTGGGAGTCCTTTCGGACCTGGAGGGGGGTCGGTCGGGGGCCTTGGAGCTCGCGCCGGGGCGACGGCCGGCTCAAGGAGAGATCGGAAGGTTCCATGTCGCTTGAGATGTCACAGCTGCCCAAGAAGAAAGCTCGAAAGACCTCGTTCGACAGGAGATCCAACGCACAGCTTCGGACTCCGCCAGAGTTCCTTAAAACGCCAAAAAGGTCAATGTAGTGCCCGAATAGTTTATCCAAACCAAAGGCCAGAGCGAGAGAGAGAGAGAAGAAAGCAGCAGTTGTGGCGGTGTTGAATACGGCCTCCGGAGATGGCTACGTGCATGAGGGGTTAACACAAGGATGCAGTGATATAGATTCGAGGCAGCAAACAGCTTCATCAACCAATGAAGGAGAGATGGAGGATTCGCTGCCGCGATCGTGCTTTGGTGTGGGAAATTGTATATTGTGATAGGTGGTGAATGGTTATTGGTGCTCTGATAACGTCCATGTCGGAAGCCAAACAGGAATTGCCAAAAAGGCGAAGGAAAGATACCAAGTTGCCGGCTTTGAACCTTCTGCGCGTCCCGTGCAGTCAATCGGTCGGTCAATGTTCAAGAACCGGTCAAACCTTTGAAGGCATCCAAACGAAAACAAACACCTGATTGATGAGCAATTATTCAGCCCACTAATTAGAAGAAGACTAGAGAAAAAAGGAAATCCAGAGAAAGACTCCTTCTTTTATGATGACGCGATAATTAATCTTAAAATATACGATATTTATAGATAAGACAGATCCATTTCTATCGAGCTTGATAAATAAGCAAGCACTTTGGATGCCTTCCTCGGAGGAATCTCTAATCTTGCATGTCTTGTTGTTATGAAAGATAAATCTTGAGTAGCTTAAGAGCTCCACATGGCAAGTCACCGAGAATGTTGGGAAGTTTGTCTCTCCGACACCAAGTTTTGATGACTTTGTGATGCCTATAAAACAAAAGTATAAGAGGATGTCGGAGAGAATACACATCGATTGGGACGGCCGGCCGCATTATATAATGCTAAGGCTTCAAACAAAAGAAGGGTGGAGAGGAGATGAGAGATGTTATATTTATTTAACTAGCTTCATTGATATAAATTTTGATAGGAGATATGGGATAATTTGAATAAAATCTAATATAACTTTAATTTTTTTTTATCTTATTAAATATTTAATATATATATATGTATATATATACATTAGTGCTAGAATTGATCATCGATCCATATCACATAGTAAACACACTTAAATTTACTTTCTAAAATTATTAAATCTCATAAATCGAACCTTCAAGGAGGTTGAATATTTCCTCGAAATGACTTTCTTATGACAAATCTTTTAGCGTGTGCTGGGGTCATACACCTTATAAAGTTACTTTGAAAGCGAAAGAGATATTTTTTATTTAGAGACTTTTATTTATAGGACGGTGAAAGAAATTTTTTAGAATGAATAATATTAGTAAAAAATATTTTTTATTATATTCTTTCCTTAAGTTTATGCTGACTTGGTATGTCTTTGTGACTAGGCTCTATGTCATATTTCGATTAGCACAAAACGTTATATATATATATATATATATATATATATATATTGTGAGTGTTGAGGTTTCTTATGAATATATATTCTCAATTTTCAAGTTAATTTTTTATTTATTTGTTATGGTTAAATTTAGAAAATTTTATATCTATTCTTAAGTGAATCTTAGCTGATTAATTCTATGATAGTTGCTTATCATAAGTTATATTTTTTGTCAAAAAATATTAACTAGTATTATTTATGGTTATGTCCAATTGAGTAGAGATATAATTAGAGGTCAAGATGGACCCAAGTTAATGAATTGTTGGGTCTAAGTAATCCCTATGATGACCCAAATTGACATGAGTCGAGTTAGAATTTCTCGTTCTAACTCGAACAAAAGAGGATTTGGATCCATGTTTATTAGCTTATGAGAAGAATACCGATTTGGCTTTGTCGGAATTCTCTTCCTTCTCTTCTCAATCTCCTCCTTTCTCTTCTCAATCATATCTGCTTAAGAACTGAGGGGTGATGAACAGTTAGTTCCTTAGAGTTGAATGGTCATCCTATTGCATACTTTCTTTGAATGAGTCGTAGATCATGTCGTGTCCATCTTCGTGAGTGTTTCGAACACATTAAACTTAGCGTGATCCAATCTAGATCGATCGATGGATCATTGTAGAACAAATACATAAGATCGATCGTGAATCGTTTTGATTGGTACGACCCCCTTCTCAAGCTTTCCCTACTCATACGACATCTCACGACTCGACGTATGCTGTGGCCGGCTTGGATGCACCCCACGTAGGAGACTCATGGCTTAAGTCGGGATCAAAATCGTTATGTAATATATTCCTGTAAATAGCTTCCTACCATAGTCCATCATCCGTCTCGGATTCTTTGTATGACCATAGTAAGCTCTATACACAATGTTTAGCATACAATAAGCCCATTTTTGATTGACGATGATTTAATCCATTGAGGTTTTTAATGCTTTCTTTGCAGTACTAGTGGATACTCCAGAACTTCTATGGAGTAGGAAGCTATGTGTGTATAGAGGTATACAATAACTTCCAGATTTCCTTTTAATGATATAATATCTTATTAATGGATTAAAGAAAGTGATGATAATTTAATTTTTTTAAAGTTAACTTTTTGTATATATGAAAAATGATAATTACGTCCTCATATATTTAGTGATATATAGAGAAACCATTAATACGTCATACTTTCGACACATATTATCAACTCGATATAATATCCAATGTGAATATTACACCATCATCAACGTTGATTTAATATCATCTTAGATATGCAATCATCTTGACATATCAATTGGGCTTCTTGGACTAATTCATATGCACTTAAAGAGCATAAAAAACCATTCTTATATTTTTATTATACGATTTTTTTTAATATATATGAAATCAAATAACAATAGATATTTACGATACGTACCTTTCAATGTCATTCAAAAAGTTTTATCTGATTTATTAGTATACCATCGTTGAATTCAAAAACTATAGTGATGCTAATTTACAAGGAGAATTAGAGTCACATTCTCTTCTCTCGACCATTATGAGCAATGAATTAGGGATAAAGAGGATATATGAGAAGATCTATAATCTCTTGTCACGTATCCCATCTTTTCTTATCTATATATTCGCATATTTGCATAGCCATATATTCACATGAAGTATTTAAGATATCTTATCCTTTTATAAGTTAGAAAGAGGGTCTAGGATAATTAATTAGAAGAATCTCTTCTATCAATATCACTTCTTAAATAATCTTACTTTAATTAAATATCCTTTTTGTTGACTGATAATTATAATTAGAGTATAATCATATCCATAATATATTTTATCTAATTAGATAGAATTACATAATCTAATAAGTCATGCATGTTTAATGGTTTCATAGACCTCTCATGATCAAGTAATGATGGACTATTTTATGTAAACGTCTATTTAGATTAATTTTTTATTTAATTCGAATAGCTTTGGATTATTAGGATCATTTCGAATAATCGTTGTGTAAAATATATTTTTTTCTCAAATCCTTCCTAGTATAAAAATATTTTTCGTCAGTATGCTCATGACCTTGACGTATCGTAGATTTTTCATTAACAAGATATGAAGGATTTATGCATGTTAATTAAACCTACTTACAATCGAGATGTGGAGGGCTTTGATAGGGTCTTAGAAACTTTAAAGCGTAACATGTGAACTTAGCATCGAAAGATAGCTTCTTCACAAGAAGAGTTAGTCAACCAAAGTTCAACCAGCCCAATCCAACTTTGTATGTGATTGAATCCAGCAATTACAGTAGACATCCGGACCACATCGATGTGAAAGGAGATTGACCGAAATCGATTGACCTCCCCAATGTAAATAGAAAACTAAAATCTTCTTTTGATCTTATTTAAGCTTAGATATGGACACCTATCTAATTAATACATTTGAATTCAGTACTACCTATTACATTCCTAATTAGACACCAAACAATGTCCTAATGGTAACACTAAACAAGTAGTCTCGAACACTTTCTTTTTTCCTTTTGAAACAAGTTTCAAACTCGATCACATAAGCATCTAATTACAAGAATTGATGACCGAATAGAACGCTTTAAACTCTCTTAATAAACCATTAAATTGGTCAAGAGGCAAGTAATCAAAAGTCAAAGTTCATGCACTCATGGGATTGCCGACTTCGATTCAGTATCGGATTCCGTGGTTCAAACATCAATGTCTCGATTAATTTAATGGAAGAATAGGCTGTAACTTTGTGGAGACCTTATCCATTTGGCTCATAGACATCCCTAATGATTATTCATCCTAACTTATCCCCCTCGTTTCTTCCATGGATACAGTGCCACCTACCGAACCCACTTAATCTCCATGATATGGAACTTTGATCCAATCTACATTGGCATTCTTATGTTACTACTAACAAGAGAGCTCATAAATCTTGCAAATTGAGAAAAATTTCTTCATTAATTCTTAATTCTATTAATGTTATTTAGGAAAACAAATCATATATATATATATATATATATATATATATATATATATATATATATATATATATATATATATATATATATATGAATATTACAAATAAAAGAATGGAGCACTAAACAAAATCAAAAGAGTGTAGGATTACAAGTCAAAGTCTTTCCTCATCTCTCTTCCGTATGATGGGTGGTGGGTTGCATTAAGTTCTTCTCTCTATCATCACCATCATGTGCTCTGGCATCTTGTCCTCCCACTGTTCCAACGCTGTCCACCCACGGCTTGGCCTTGGATCCATGCACCCACCACATTAAACTACTCGCATGGCGTTGACTTTCCATTACAATTCTCCTATCAGCTTAATCTTTTGGTATTACGATTCTCCATTTCAAACTTATCCCTCTCTCTCTATTCATCCGATATCCTATTAGTATTTTTATGTAGCATTCTTCCATTGGCTTACAGATAGATTCCCTCTGGCAACTGAGATTGGCTGACAATGTTATTAGATACGTCAAGTATTTGAAGGCACCTAAGTGTAGTTTAACTGCGTGACAATGAACCTGGCCCGAACAGATTAGATTCGCGGAAGGCCACGTGATGATCTATTACATGCACCGCCGCAATTGTGTTGGAAAAGTCAACACGAGGAAGATGGACGAGCCGTCGGCAGTGATTTATACTTGGATTTGCTTCCTTGTCTCGTCGGGCATGCTGTCCATGTTCCCAAAGTAATGGCGACGGTGCTTCCACCTCAAACACAGCTCAAAGTGGAATAGAAAAGGGTCCGGTCAACACGAGGGCGGATTTACATCCGTGTTACATATGGCTATGTCAACTCTTTGACCACTCTCTCCCTCCTCGCGTAGCAAGCGATGCATTTGTAGACTCCCTTTGCGTACCCTCCGCGTGGACCTCGCCGGCTTCTTCTTCCTTCTGGCTTTAAGTACCTGATCGTCTTCTTCTCCCACCAACTGTCTCAAGCGTTGCACCAAGTAAAGGCATCCTCGTTCAGCTTTCTCGTCTGTTTAGTTCTTGTGGTTTTGGTTGGTGTTGATGGAGGGAGTAGAGATACCGCCTTACTTCCTTTGCCCTATATCTCTGCAACTGATGAAGGACCCGGTGACGCTGTCGACGGGGATCACCTACGACCGCGAAAGCATCGAGCGGTGGATCTTTTCCGGAGGGCACAATACGTGTCCGGTCACCAAGCGGGCCTTGCCGGACTGCGAGGTCACTCCGAACCACACTCTCCGGCGGTTGATCCAAGCTTGGTGCACCGTTAACGCGTCGAGCGGCGTGGAGCGGGTTCCCACCCCGAAGGCCCCCGTCGAGCAGGGCCAGATCGTGAAGCTCCTCGATGAGGCGAAGCTGCCGCAGTCCCAGCTCAGGTCGCTGGCCAGGCTGCGGGCGATCGTATCCGAGAGCGAGCGGAACAAGCGGTGCGTCGAGGCGACTGCCGGTGTCGTGGACTTCCTGGCATCCGTCATAGCGAACGACGGATATAGCTCGAACGAAGAGGTCGATGATGGATTGGAGTCCACAGGTGCCTGCGACGAGGCACTCAACATTCTCCACTCGCTTACGATCTCCGAAGGTGGTCTCCTCGACCTCGTGACGAGACATGCCGGCATGATCGAGTCACTGACGACGATACTGAGACGATCGAGTTACCAGTCACGAGCCTACGCGACGCTGTTGCTGAGATCGATGCTTGGAGTGCTCACGCAGGAGAAGCTGATCAATCTCGGTGAGGAGCTATTCCAAGAGATAGTGAACGTCATACACGACCGGATCTCGAACCAGGAGACGAGGGCGGCATTGCATGCCCTCATCGAGGCGTGCCCATGTGCGAGGAACCGAATCAAGGCGGTAAATGCCGGCGCCGTGCACGTCCTGATCGAGCTGCTGCTCGAAGAAGACGACAGGAGGATTTGCGAGTTGGCGCTGGTGGCGATGGACCGGCTCTGCGGGTGCGCCGAGGGGAGGGCGGAGCTCGTGGGGCACGCGGCCGGCATCACGGTGGTGTCGAAGAAGATACTGCGGGTGTCGGAGATGGCGAGCGAGAGGGCGGTCAGGATACTGCACTCGGTGGCGCGGCACTCGGCTACTCCTCGATTGCTGCAGGAGATGATGCAGATGGGAGTGGTGTCCAAACTGTGCCTGGTGCTCCAAGTGGATTGCAAAGCTAAGACCAAGGAGAAAGCGAAGGAGATCCTCAGTATGCATTCGAGGGTGTGGAGGAGCTCCCCTTGTCTTTCCCCACAGTTCCAGGTTTCATATCCTTCTTCGTGACAGTCAAATTGAAGACAGTCAAATTTGTAGATTCAATCTCACAGTATCAAAGAACACATATACGATAATAGTTCAGCAATAAGTTGATTGTTTGTTTTTTATCAGCAAAAACATCATTTTTACCTCATCTAGCTTCAAATCCAAGGAAATTGTAGTGAGTTTGGGAAATAATGGTGACGATCGTGCCCATACTATGTCACGTTTTTGTCTATGTTAATGACCTTAAATTTGGCAGGGAAAAGCTCTTCTTCTACTGATGAATAGTTTGGAGCATTAACAAAAGATAATATCTCTGTTCTCTCTCAACAAGACTCACAAAGCTGCCAATCAACTGATACGAACACCAACAACAAAGACAGGACTGTTAGTGGAAGACAAAGATGCGGCAATGGAAGAACGGGGAAAGGAGGACGAATGAATGGGGCAACAAAGCAGAGACTCTATTCGCATGACGACGATCCTGCCATGTCATAGGAGAAGCCTTCCTCTCGCAGCCGTCGCTGTTGATCGACCTGGCCAATATCTAAACATCCTACCCCACAATTTGGTGTCGGCAGAAGCATCACGCCAATGACGGTCGGGTGACATCCACAAGGACAATAATAATAAATGATAAGGAAAACGATGGAACAGTATTTGCACCGACAGATACAACAGTAAACATATAAATGTGCATGTCGTATATATTGACTAACATGTATAGAGCATAAATTTCTTGACTGACAAAGACGAGCATCAAGCTGAGTTGCCGAACTTAATTTTACAGTAAGCAATACTAAGCAAAATGAAGCACAAACAACAATAATAATAATATCACATAAACTGACAAAAGCTCAGTAACAGAGAAATTAGACTCAAAGGGCGGATTGTATTTGCCATGATCTCTCCAAAAACAAATTGAGCTTTGCTAACTATTCTGGTAGAATATGTATTCATTTGACTCACCAAATAGTTTGCTTGACACAAAAAAAAATTACAGGACCCTAGTATTAGAAGTTGTTGATGGAAACACTCTTTGAGCCATTGCCTCTGGGTCGACGCAGCTCAGTTAAGTCCGGATGATAGGGGATCTTCTCGAGACGGCCTTCGAATCCGCCGAGGTGGTATGATGCGGTGGTCGGGATGGGATCATTGTTTCCTCCGGGTAGGAACTCCTCGCCTTCACATCCGGCGGGGCGGCCTCTGCTTCGCACCTGCACAAAGGTCGGGTCGGGGTGCTCGACCCGACCCCTCCGACGATCAGGTCATATGATAGTGGTCCCCGATGCCCCTCTCCCCGATGAACGAGAGGGTATTTATAGGGAAGCTTACTGCTTCCTGAGTTGCCCGCTTGCAGGGGGCAAGCTGGTAGCGTCTGACACTGGTGTTGGCGTAGCGTGAAGGATTGAGCTTGAGCAGGGTGTTAAAGTGCCTCGGTCGGTGTTCCGATCTGCATTGACTAGGTGCTTGCTATGAGGCGTTATTTGGGACAGCTGACGTCATGCGAGTCTTATCGCAATTATTATCCTCATCATTATTCCCCCCCGGAAAGAAGCTATGCGTCGGTTGTCATACTGGGAGTCCGATGCATGGCTTCGGCTTTGAGAAACTGTCCCTGTCGGGCGTTAGCCGGTCCGTTGCTAGGGGTGCGGGGGTCGTGGAGTTTCGTAGGCGAGCTGGCTGCGCAGGTGTGGTCTCCGGAAGCGTGGAGTCTAGGAACATGACGCAGGCGGGCTGGCTGCACAGGTGTGGTCTCGGGAAGCATGGAGCCGAGGAGCACGACGCAGGCGGGCTGGCGGCGCAGGTGTGGTCTTGGGAAGCGTGGAGTCGAGGAGCACGACGTAGGCGAGCTGGCCACGCAGGTGTGGTCTCAGGAAGCATGGAGCCGAGGAGCACGACGCAGGCGGGCTGGCCGCACAGGTGTGGTCTTGGGAGGCATGCAGCCGAGGAGCACGTGGAGCCAAGAAGCACGACGCAGGCGGGCTGGCCGCGCAGGTGTGGTCTCAGGAAGCATGGAGCCGAGGAGCACGACACAGGCGGGCTGGCCGCGCGGGTGTGGTCTTGGGAAGCATGGAGCCGAGGAGCACGACGCAGGCGGGCTGACCGTGCAGGTGTGGTCTCGGGAAGCATAAAGTCGAGGAGCACGACGCAGGCAGGTTGGCCACGCCGGTGTGGTCTCGGGAGGCGTGCAGCCGAGAAGCTACTTGCGTTGTTGTCCCTTTATACCAACTTGCCCGTGGTGGGGGACTGAGAACCCCCCTTCCTTGTGAGTTCTTGGGGGCCAGCTCTTTGCATTGTAGTATGCTTTCAGGCATCGAGATCGAGGCGCCAGGACTCTACCATTTGCTTGGCTTGCCCCTGAGTTGCCGCGTTAGGCCTTTGGCCTCCCTGACGCGACGTGGCGGGCAGGCGAGCACGTGAGTGGGCTGTCGCCCACTTTTGGGAGGCAAAGGGACGTTGGTTTCGGCGGGATCTCTCCTTTAAATAGGGCGCGTCCGGCTTCGTTCCCATCTCTCGCTGCTGAGTCTTCTCCTTCGAATCTCGTCGTCCACTTTCTAGTCGTTCTCCTCACCTCCAGTGTCACCTCCCTTCCCCACGTAGCCCCTTCCTGTTTCCCGTTAAGGTCGGTGAGGATGACCTCCTCTTCTTCTTCCTCTTCTTCATCCTCCAATAGAGCTAGGGAGAGACCCCTTTCGCCATCCCCCGTGGAGTCCTCCAATAGGGAAGCGGCGCAGGCCCTTAAGGCCTTAATGTGGCTGCATGACCTCGACTCCACCGTGAGTGGGTCGTCGCTGAAGAGACTTCGGGAGCGCTATAGTATCCCGGAGGATTATATCCTCAGCGCCCCCGAACCGGGGCAGTGGGCCTACGACCCGATTTCGATGGGTTTTGCGCTAACCCTAGACGCCCTAGAGGCGGGTCTGCGCCTTCCCCTTCACCCTCTCATTGTCTCTTGTATCTCTATGAGGTGAATCTCGCCATCCCAGGTGGCGTCGAACTCTTGGCGCTACCCAGTGGCGTTCTTGGGGGAATGTCACTACGCCAATATCACCCCCACCCTCAACCTGTTCCTTTCCTATTATCGCCTTTCCAAGGGGTTGAGGGGTTATTTCCTGTCAGCCCGAGTGGGTTTTCGAGTCGGGGGGGCCCCTTCCAGTAACAAAGGATGAAATGGGAGGTTTTTTTATGTCAGTTGTGCGAGAGATTGGGGTTTCGGGGTCCGGTGGTCCGCGAGAGTGATCGATAACACCGCCCCGAGCCTCAGCGACGAAGAGCGCCGGGCTCTGGGGAGGCTCCGTGAGATTCTCCCCAGTTCCCAGGGCATCCGGAACATGACCGAGCGGTGGCTGGTCGAGGCAGGTCTCAGTCCGACGCCTCGGGGTATGTTAATAGTGCCCGGTCCGGGTATTCCGTGGCTCGCCCTTAGTCCTAACTTTTGTCCGACTTCTTACAGAAATGGTGAACCTCCGATCCCTTCTAGGCGGTCGGGCGTCGTCGGCTTCTTCTCCACGCCCATCGGCCGACCCGAAGCCTGGCTCGAAGGATGCCCCGCTGGAGATTGAGGACGAGCATCCTCGGAAGAAAGCCAAGACCACTGCCTCCTAGGGAGTTGAGGCGGCCCCGGGACGGGTGGACCGAGCAGAGGCAGGCCCTCCTTGAGGTGCGGCGGGACCCAATCGGGAGGCGATAGGGAAGGACCCGCGCCCTCCCTCCGTGCGCGACCTGTGCCGACTACCCGCGGGTGACGACGAGCCGTTTCTGTCGCGAGTGGTGGGTGAGATCTCGATAGGGGAGGCAAGCGACCCTCTGGTCGCCTGCTATGGGGGCATGTCCTAGGTGGACAGAGTGTGGGCCGGAGGGGATTCCTTCGCCGCATTCCTCCAGGGTGCGCTTCATCCCGACATGGCTCGGGATATATATACCTTGCCCTCAGATGCTCTGCTTTGCAAGTCAGCCAAGTCCCTAACATTGGTAAGTATTGCGCTTGTTATTTCTAGTTATACATCCAATAGTGTTCCTCCTGACCTCTCCTCTTTCTTACATGGCATTCACTACGCGACGGCCCTGATGGTCCGGGTGCGTGACGCTGGCCGAATCATCGGGGGCCTCAGCGGGCGCAACACCGAGCTGCGCCGCCAATTGGAGGAGATTCGAGCCGAAGCGGGCCCGAAAGCCATGGCGGTTGTTGAGAAGCGCGTGGCGGATTCGGAGGTAGAGGTGGCTTGCCTCAAATCGGAGCTCCAGACATCCGAAAGTTCGAATAAGGAGCTCCAGAAAATTTTGCGGGTAGAGCGGACCGAGCTCCGTTTGTTAAAGACAGAGGCGAGCACCCTCAGCAAAAAGTTGGAGGAGGTGAAGGCAGAGGCAAGAGCGGCTTCCGAGGCACTTGCTGAGGAGCCTCGCCTCCGACCCGACAAGGACAAGGAGTTGCTCGCGACATATAAAAAATCCGAGGGGTTCGAACTCGGGCTGACGCGGACGGGGCAAGTTTCTTTCGAATATGGATACCGGATCGCTCTGGCCTGCTTTTGTGTGCGCCACCCAGGGCTTGAGGTAGAGGAGGATCCCTTCACTTCCCACCCCGAAAATCTAGAGGTGGACATGTCCGAGGACGTCCCTTTCGACGATCGCCTGGAGGTCCCGAAGGAATAAAAGGGTCCTGTAACTTTGTAGTTTTTTTTCTAAGGGGTCGGTCTGTAAGTCAGGGTCGAGTCCTGTAGTCCCAGTTTTTCTTAAATGAAAGAAAATTTTCTTTTCTTGCATATTGCCAATCTTTCGCTTTCTCACATGAAAAACTTCTTAAGGTTTTGGACGTTCCATGTCCTTGGTAAAGAACAGCCGGCCATCGTCGCGAGCCGGTACGTGCCCGGTCAGACAATCTCGATGACCCGATAAGGTCCTTCCCATTTGGGAGTGAGCTTACCGTGCGCTCGGGTTGGGTTACTTACCTCGACCCTGCGCAGCACTAGGTTGTCCAGCTTGATAGGTCGGGGGCAGACCCTTCTGTTGTAAATCCTAACGACGGCTCTTTTGTAGGAGAGGGCCTTCAGGTGCACGTCGGCTCGCCTTTCCTCGAGCAAGTCCAATCCAGCTTGGAGTCCGTCGGCCGATGTCCTTTCGTTATAAGATTTCGTTCGTGGGGTGGTA